TTTAATTCCTCCATCTCTTACCAAACCTAAGTTGACTTGAATTTTTCTTAATGTTTGCCAGTTTTGCTCTTGATGATGACTTTCATTTTAAGGTTACTTAGTCCATTTTTTTGGATCATTTATATAGGTAAAAATGTGTTAACTTAGAGTCTCATCTCTACCCCCAAGAAATGAAAAGCAGCAAAACCAGCTAAACTTTCCAGACTAAATTTTTCATTCTTATATCCTTTGTTAATAAGGCCTCTGGTTGACTTTTTTTTTTTTTTTTTAACAGCTCTGTTAAGGTGCAGTTTACATGTAATATAATCTGTTCATTTAAATGCAGTTTGATGACTTTTGGCAAATGCATGTAGTTCTGTAACTACCATTTCACCCAAGCAGTGTAACATTTCCATTACTGCACAAAGTACCCTCTTGCTCATTTGCAGTCATCCCCTCCCACTACCCCCCATCCTAGAAAACCTCTGGTCTGCTTTCTGTCGCTGTTGTTTTATGGCTTCTAGTATTTCATGTAATTGCAATAATGCAGAATTTATCCATTCATTAGTTGATAGACATTAATCCTCTTACCAACTGATGGACATTTAAATTATTTCTGATATTTTGCTATTACAAGTAATACTGCTATGAACATTCTTACACAAGTCTTTTTGTGGACATATGTTTTCATTTTTCTTGGGTAGATACCTAGGAGTGGAATTGCGGGCTTATATGGTAAGTGTATGTTTTTAATGAAACAGCCGAATTGTTTTCCAAAGTGGCTGTACCATTTTGTATTCCCACTGGCAGTGTATGAGCATTCCAGCTGCTCCATATCCTCACCAGCACTTGGTATTTTTGTCAGTCTTTAATTTTAGTCATCCTACTGGGTGTATATCTCGTTGTAGATTTTAGTTTTAATTTCCCTGATGACTAGTGATGCTGAGCATCTTTTCATGTGCTTACAGGCCATTTGTACATATTCCTTTGTGAAGTTTCTGTTCAAATCTATTTTTTTTATTGCGCTGTCTGTCATCTTTGGTCGCGACAGTTCTTTATATATCCCAGATATAATTCCTTTGTCAGATATTTTGATGTTGTTTTCTTCCAGTCTGTGGTTTGTTTTTTCTTTTTTTTACAACATTATCTTTCGAAGAGCAAAAGCCTTGAATTTTGAGGTAGTCCAGTTTATCAGTATTTGTCTTAATGATTCATGCTGTTCGTCCTATCTTAAATTTTTGCCTAAATCAAGGTTATGAAGATATTCTATTTTTTTCTTCCAAAAGGTTTGTAGTTTTAGCTCTCTTACTTTAGATTTATGATCTATTTATTTTTTATATGGTATGACATGTAGTCAAAGTTTGTTTATAAATACCCAGTTTTTAAACATCATGTTGAAAAGACCATCCTTTTCCTCCATGGAATTTCCTCTACATCTTGAGGTATTTTAAATGTTGAAAATACTCTATAAGTATGGGTCTACTTTCAGAATCTATCTTCTATTTTATTGATTTTTACCAAGGGTCAGAAAACTAAGGCCTATGTGCTAAATCTGGCTTTATATAAATAAAACTTTATTAGCACATGGCCATGCCCATTCATGCAGGTATCATCTATGACTGCAACTGCAGAGACAGATTTCAGTAGTTGCAACAGAGACTGTGTGGCCTACAAAGGTGAAAATATTACTGTTTGGCCCTTTGCAGAAAAAGATTGCCAACTCCTTATCTATTTTCTCATGCCAATACTCTACTGTCTTGTTTACTGTAGCTTTATAATACATCTTGAAATCAGGTTGCATAAGTGCCCCAACTTTGTTCTCTCTCTTTTTTTTTTCCCTTAAAGACGGCGTCTCACCCCGTCTTCCAGGCTGAAGTGAGTGGCTTGATAATGGTTCACTGCAGCCTCGACCTCTTAGGCTCAAGTGATCCTCCTACCTCAGTCTCTGAAATAGCTGGACTACAGGCATGTGCCACTGTACTTGGCTAATTTTTTTCTTGTTTTCTTTTCTTTTTTTTTCCTGAGACAGGGTCTTACTCTGTCACCCAGGCTGTAGTGCAGTGGTGCCATCATGGCTCACTGCAGCCTTGACCTCCCAGACTCAGGTGATCCTCCCACCTCAGGTTTCTGAGTAGCTCGGACTATAGGCACATGCCATCACACCAAGCTAATTTTTGTATTTCATGTAGAGTAAGGATTTTGCCATGTTGCCCAGGCTGGGCTCAAGTGATCCATCCACAGCCACCCAAGTGCTGGGATTACAGGCATGAGCCACTGTGCCTGGCCATTTTAAAATGTTTTATTGAGATAGGGTCTCACTGTGTTTTCCAGGCTTGTCTCAAACAGGCAATTCTCCTGCTTCGGCCTCCCAAGTGCCACGTTGTGAAAATCATTGAGAAACAGGAAATGAAGGTGGCTTGTCCAATCTGATTCTAAGGCCTGAGGAATTGTACAGTGGCCAATAGTCACACACATCCCATTAGTAACTACTTATTTAGGAATGAAATAAACACATTACTTTTTTTTTCAATTTATGTGTAGTTTTTTTTTTTAATGGTCACTAAATTTGTTAGAAGACAAATACTTAACAGTCAGTAAATCCTTACTTAACATCATAGAGCAGTTGTTAGAAACTGCAACTTTAAGTGAAAGGATTTACAGCAGGTTGAAAGAAATAACACCTCATGATCCACCCACCTCGGCCTCCTAAAGTGCTAGGATTACAGGCATGAGCCACCGCACCTGGCCCCCTTTTTTTTTTTCTTTCTTTTGAATCGTGTTTGAAATGTTTCTTGGATTTAACCTTTCCTTTTTTTCTGTAGTCACATGCCAGTCTTGAATGACTACAGTAGCATCTCTGGGGTTTTCAGTTATGGCAGGAGATGAAGGATATCTTTTGAATGCCTGTCTTGTTCTAAATATATCTCCTATTTCTCAGTAGCCCTGGAGTTACAAGCATAAGCCACCATGTCCAGCCTGTTCTGCTTTTTACATATGGGCTATTACAGGACCTTTGTATTTCTGTGTACATTTTAGAATTATTTTGTCAATGTGTACAAAAGCCTACTGGGATTTTATAGGTATTGCATTGTAACTATACTTAATTTGGGGGAATTAATAGTGTAAAAATACTAAGTTTCTAGTCCATGAACATGTTATATGTCTCCATTTGTTTATGCTCTTTTTAATGCATTATTTTGTTTAGTGTAGAGGCTTTGCACATCTTTTGTATATTTATTCCTAAACATTTTATCTATTGATTTTACTCTAAGTAGAATTACTAAAAATATCATTTTCCAATTATTTATTGTATGTACAAATACAATTGATTTTACATATTGATCTTGTATACTGCAACCTGACTAAATTATTTACACTCATTTTACAAAAAAAAAAAAACTCCTATTTTTTTTTCGAGACGGAGTCTCGCTGTGTCACCCAGGCTGGAGTGCAATGGCGCGATTTCGGCTCACTGTAACCTCTACCTCCCAGGTTCAAGCAATTCTTTCTGCCTCAGCCTCCTGAGTAGCTGGGACTACAGGTGTGTGCCACCACGGTTGGCTAATTTTTTTGTATATTTAGTAGAGACGGGATTTTACCATGTTAGCCAGGATGGTCTCTATCTCCTAACCTTGTGATCCACCTGCCTCGGGCTCCCAGAGTGCTGGGATTACAGGCATGAGCCACTGTGCCCGGCCATTTTCCTAGTTTTTATAGATTTTTTGGGATATTTCACATTCATCCTCATACCATTGTGAATAAAGATTGTTTTACTTCTTCCTTTCCAATCTACCTTAATTTTGCCTTGATCCACTGGCTATTTTGAATGGAAGTGTTGAGAGCAGACATCATTGCCTTATTATTATTGGATCTCATTATGATCTTCAGTAGAATCATTTAGTTTTTCACCATTAAGGGTCACAGTAGGTTTTTTTTAGGTGCCTTTTACGAGGTTAAAAAAGTTCCTTTTTATTCTTTAGTTTCTGAGATTTAAAAAAAATCATGAATGACTTGGATTTTGTAAAATATTTCTTCTGCATCAATTGAAATTATCATATTTCTTTTTCTCCTTTATTAAAAGGTAAATTACATTTATTGATTTTTGGATGTTGAACTGCATTTGGTTTTTGGATGCTAAAGTGATTTTTTTTTGTGATAAAGTCCATTTGATCAGGTTTTATTTTTTAATATTGGGTTTGACTTGCTATAAGCTAAGGCTTTTGCATCAATATTTATGAGGGATAAGGTCTCTAGTTTTTTTTGTGAAATCCTTGTTTTTGGTATAAGAATAATACTGGCTCTGTAAAACAAGTTAGGAAATGTTTCTTTGTATTTTGAAAGAGTTTATACAGGACATACTTTTATAAAAAAAATCTTAAATGATAGAATTCACATTTTTCTTTTTTTAAGGAGACTTTTTGGCCAGGCACGATGGCTTATGCCTGTAATCCCAGCACTTTGGGAGGCCAAAGTGGGTGGATCACGAGGTCAGGAGTTCAAGACCAGCCTGACCAACATGGTGAAACCCCATCTCTACTGAAAATACAAAAATTAGCCAGGCATGGTGGTGCGCACCTGTAATCCCAGCTACTCAGGAGGCTGAGGCAGGAGAATCGCTTGAACCCAGGAGGCAGAGGTTGGAGTGAGCCAAGATTGCGCCATTGCACCCCAACCTGGGCAAAACTGTGTCTCAAAAAAAAACAAAAGACTTTTTATTCATAGCTAAGTTGTAAGAGATTCACAGTTTACCCTAAATTAACTCAGTGAGAATGATGTACTTTTCTTGGCACAAATAAATTTGAAAATACATTGGCTTTATCCTGCTTTCTGATTTTGTTATATGTGGAGGATACATTTATGAGAAGTTGAGAGCCAGCTTTTCTAACTGTATTTCCAATTGCATTCCAACTTCATAATAGGAAATAATTTTATTGTTATATTTTGACTAAATGTTTAATAGTACTGTACTTATGAAATATTTTATTGCTTTGCTTATTCATCTTTGTTTTTGTTAATTTTAGGAACTTAAAAGGAGTCTAGAAAATCAAGCAGAAAGGAAAATGGAAGGTCAGAATTTCCAGAGTCCTCAATGTCTCAACACATGCTCAGAGCAAAATGGTTATGTTCTAACACTATCAAATGCACAACCAGTTCTGCAATATGGTAATCCTTATGCATCTCAGGAAACAAGAGGTTATTACAGTATTTTTGGTTTGGGGTTAGCTGCATCTGGAGATTTTTTTATGGTTTATATTTTCATAGATTAGCAAACTGCTGGTATAATCAACTCTAATACAAACATTATTTTATTTGTATAATTAGCAGTTTTAATATTTAACAGTGTAACTGGCCTCATCTATAAGTGATGCACCATGAGATGAGTAGTTTTTTTGCTTATTACATATAGTTCACAATTTAAAAAATCACCTGGGTTAAAAATAAAAACATCTATTTTTTTCATGTACCAAAGTGGTTCTTTATATACTGTTCATCATATCTATACATACAGATGTTAATTTTAGTAACCGGTTTCACTGTACCCTTCCAAAAATTTTATTACAGATGGAGCAGATGGTGCTTTTTACCCAGATGAAATACAAAGGCCACCTGTGAGAGTCCCTGCTTGGGGACTAGAAGACAATGTTGTCTGCAGCCAGCCTGCTCGAAACCTTAGTCGACCTGATGGCTTAGAGGACCCTGAGGATAGCAAAGTAATTTTGAATTTTCATTGTGTGAGCCTGTCCCTTTTTTATTTTTTAGCTTATGTAGAGAGTTAAGGGTATGTGTGCATATGTGTATCTTTGTGTGTGCATGTGTGTGTGTGGAAGGAGAGTGTGTACTTGTGCCTGCACACAATTGTCTACTTGATTTTTGGAAAAACCTGCTTGTATTTAAATTAGAAAAAAATCTACCAGTATGCTTCAGACTTATACTTTAGGAGTTATATACTAAAGTAAAAGATTAAGTTTAGGGAATAATCTCAGAATATTGTAGTTATCAGATAGTTTAATCTTAAACATCACTAAGTAACTTACTATATTCTTTTGATTATAGATGTACTAGGCTTGAAGCAGCAAAGTGTTAATGGCAATATTATGTTTCCTTACAGCAGCTCTTTTTGGATAATAGTTTCTTTTCTTCATAGAAGCTCTTTTTGGATTTCCTGTGCATTAAGATGAATTTAAAAGAAATGCTTTATCGTGCTCTTTGCAAGTACAGTGGTATCATGACCTGTTTCTTATTTAATCTAGTTTGCTGCATTTAATTGCTATTAACCTTTGCAGAAACTGATCAGTGTTCAGACAGGCATGATTTTAGCCCTAGTGCTCAACACCCATAATGGAGAAAAATGTATTTCTCCCTCCTGCCTTTTGGCCTCCTATGTCCATTACTGGGAATAATTAGGAAAACTGTCAGAACTTTTGTAGCCTATTTAAGGTCTAGAGTATCATCTTACTGCTTTTTCACACCTTTACCTCACATTTTGCATATTTAATCTGATCATTCTTGGCACAGATGTTATATGTGACAAGACTTTCTCTTCTGTAGTCATCTGCTTCAGTTTAATTAGCAGAATGTTCTTTCTGATCTGTGTGCTTTGCCCTCCTGCAAACCCATGAGAAGCAGTGTTAGAGTCTTGTGCTCATTTGCTGACATGCTTAGATTTGGTAATGAGATGGAGGACTTTTAATATGCACACTTTGAGTAACTTTATTTTGCAGTCAGAAGATTTTTCACATTAGAAAGTAATTCTTATGTATATTCAGAATTTAAAAAAATTATTGTCATTACAACAATAAAAAATCACTTGCAAATGAAGTGTTTTAGTAAGTAAGTTTAGTAAGAATATGGAAAGCAAATTTGAGTTAATCTGTTCTTTCTTTCTGTTTCTCTGCCCTGGGAGTGATTAATAGCCACAGGCCCCAGCACTTTTGAGTCAGGGTTGAGGTGACGTACCTACTCTTTCAGCCTACCCTGGTGCCTACACCTGCCATGTCTCCTCTCTTCTGCACCAGAAACTGTGGTCAATTGTCAGATCAAAAACCTTTTGTGGCTCCCATTTACCTAACTTTAACATCATAATTATGACAGCAGCAAACATTTCTATACCCCTCTTTGCCATTAATGCTGAGCTCTTTAGATAGAGTCACTTATTGGTTCTTCATAGCAGTTCTTCATAGCAGTCCTGTCACAACTTTATAATGGAGGAAACCGAGAGACAGATTAAATAGCTTGCCCCAAATCACATAGCTGCTGTAGGTAGAGACAGGATTGAACCTCATGAGATTGGCTATAAAAGCTGTGGTCTTAGCTACCTGTCAAATGGACTAAACCAGAGGTTTTCCTACTTTCTTAGTTCATGGCACCCTTAGCATGTCAGTAATTTTTTTTTCACAGTAACTCCTACACCAAAAGAAGGACAGTAAGTCCTCACTTAATGTCATATATAAGTTACTGGAAATTGTGACTTTAAACCAAATGATGTATAACAAAACTAGTTTTTCCCTCATCAGCGTTTTAATGAACCGACAAAAGAAATGATGTTACTTCTTTCAACCTGCTGTAAGTCCTTCATTTAAAGTTGCAGTTCCTAAGAACTGCTCTATGATGTTAAGTAAGGACTTACTGACAGTTAAGTATTTGTCTTCTAACAAATTTAGTGACTATTAAAAAAAAAACTACACCTAAATTGAAAGAAAATTAATGTGTTTATTTCATTCCTAAATAAGTAGTTACTAATGGGATGTGTGTGACTATTGGCCACTAAACAACTCCTCAAGCCTTAGAATCAGATTGGACAAGCCACCTTCATTTCCTGTTTCTCACTGATTTTCACAATGTGGCACTTACTTTATATCACAGCAGCTGCCAAAACCAGCATCTCAAAGATAAGATGACATTGAAAGGAATGGGTAGCACTATTCAAAGTTGAATCTGTGAGCCGTCTCCAACGATTGTAGTTGTTCACGTGGTATATGACAAATCCACATGCTCCTCAACTTACAATGGTGTTACATCCTGATAAACCCATCATAAGTTGAATATGTGTTTTCGACTTGAAGGATATTTTCAGCTTACAGTGGGTTCATCGGAACGTAACTCCATCATAAGTTGAGGAACGTACTGAATGTGTATTGCTTTTGTGCCATCTTAAAGTTCAAAAATTGTAAGTCTAGCCATTGTGTGTTGGAGGCCAACTCTAATGAGTATTCTGTGTACTTCTGCATATATAATATCTTTAGAAAATTTAAATTATCCCACAGTAATCCTCGGAATTTACTGTGGTGCCCTAGGTACTTTCATACCTCATTTTGGGAACTATGGGTCTAAATCGTTGCTTCTCAAAAAAGTGGTTTGTATTGGAAATACAGAATCTCCTGCCCCACTCCAGCCCTACTGAGAATCAGACGGCATTTAACAAAATCTTTAGGCGATCATATGATTTTTAACATTTGGGATACACTATTTTAAAACTTCCTAACCCTAATCGTTCAAGGCCAGATTATTTTCTCTTCCCTTAATTCATATCTTACTTTCTAGTTGTGTTCTTGCATTTCTTAGTGTTTCTCTTCTACTTTCATTCCTTTCTCCTCTGTCTCTTAAAGATGAAAGCCCACACATTCTATTAATATGTGGCTTATTTGAAACTTTCCACATGAGCCCTTCACTGTGAACCCCTAAACTGAAGACATTTTTTGTTGATAGACAGTTTTTTCTTTTTTCTGGTGAGTTGTAGCTTTTATTCTCAGAAGGGTCTGTGATTCCAAAATGATTGAGAACCAGTGCTTGAGAGAGTCAAGGCCTGTTTCCCATTTATCATGATGCACTGTTTGAGTTTTTGCCTTTCTCAAATTTGCCATTTTTCGTGTATTATCTTACGTTTTAAATTTAATTTTAATGTGTTTTCTGTTCGCAAAAATAGTGTGTGGTTACAGTCAATTTCATCTTTATCAAGAGTGCCAAGACAGTTCAAGAGGAAAAGAATAGTGTTTGCAACAAATGGTACTGGGAAAATTGTATATCCAGTTCGATGAAAGAGTGAAATTAGACCCTTGACTCATATCCTGTGCAGAAATTAACTCAAAATTGGATTTTAAATGTAAGAGCTAAACTACAAAACTCAAAACATATAGATAAATCTTTATAACTTGGATTAGGCAGTAGTTTCTTAGATATGACACCAACAGCATAAGCAACAAAGAAAAAATAGATATAGGTTGACTATCCCTTATCCAAAATGCTTGGGACCAGAAATATTTCAAATTTCAGATTTTTTCAGATTTTGGAATATTTGCATTATATTTACCAGTTGAGCACTTCTAATCTGAAAATCCAAAGTCCACAGTGCTTCAGTGAGCATTTCCTTTAAGTGTCATCTCAGTGCTTAAAAAGTTTTAGATTTTGGAGCATTTTGCTCTTCAGATTTTTGGACTAAAGATATTCAGCCTGTAATTGAATATGTCATCAAAAGGATTAAATGAATCTTTGCTGTTCCATTTAAAATTTTTTACACACAGTTATTTCCAACAGATAATATATAGCAGGTTGGCATCTCGTAATGCTGAATATTCCCTTTTCTATACCATATTAGTATAATACCTTTTATATAGTAGAGGCTTTTTAAATGTTATTAATGAATTTAGTTTAAAGAAATGTGTTTGTTCCATTTTTGCCTATTAAACTATTTAAAATTCAGGCCATCTTAGAAAAGTAATTGTTGGGCTGGACATGGTTGCTCACGCCTGTAATGCCAGCACTTTGGGAGGTCTAGGCAGGCAGATCACTTGAGGCCAGGAGTTTGAGACCAGCCTGGCCACATGGCAAAACCCCATCTCTACTAAAAATACAAAAAAAAATTTAGCTGGGCATGGTGGCACATGCCAGTAATCCCAGCTGCTTGGGAGGCTGAGGCATGAGAATTGTTTGTATCTGAGAGACAGAGTTTGAAGTGAGCCAAGATTGTGCCACTACACTCCAGCCTGGACAACAGAGCAAGACTCTGTCTCAAAAAAAAAAGAAAAATAGTTAATTTTTTTGTGGTAGCTTTATTGAGATATAATTTACATATTGTACAATTAGCCATTTAAAGTATACAATTTAGTGGTTTTTAATATATTCACAGAGTTGTGTAACCATCACCATATTCAATTTTAGAACATTTTGCTCTTTACCAAAAGAAACCCTGTACCTTGTAGCAGTTAACCTCTTCCCATTTATTCCCACCAGCCCAGGAAACCCTCAGTCCACTTTGTTTCTCTATAGATTTGTCTGTTCTGCACAGTCATATAAGTCAAATCATAAAATTGTTATCTTTTGTGACTGGTTTCTTTCACTTAGTATGTTTTCAAAGTTACCCATGTTTTAGCATGCATCCATGTTCAACATGAAGAATGGGTTTTCTTGTTTGTTGGTTTGGATGTATAGATTGAGCGTCCAAAACCCGAAACTGAGTGCTGACATGATACTCAAAGGAAATGCTTACTGGAGCATTTTGGATTTTCAATTTTGGGATGCTCAGCTGGCAAGCATAATGAAGTATTACAAAATCTGAGAAAGTCTGAAATCTGAAACACTTCTGGTCCCAAGCATTTTGGGTAAGGGAGACTCAACCTGTCCCACATTTTGTTTACCCATTCATCTGTTAGACATTTGGGTTATTTCACCTTTTGGTTATGGCATACATGCTTTTGTTTGTGTAACTTTTCACTTC